CAACAAGAGGAATATAGCTAATAGCTCTATACAGCTATATCTATATAGCTATAAAGCTAATATCTGCAGTGGGTTGGCAGACACCACATATTTAGCGGTATGGTGTTGACAACATGCATAACAGCAATGGTCTTTTACTTTTAAAAGACCATGAAGAAGATTTGCCTGGGATTATTATTGATACTATTTGCAATGTTAAACTGGAGATTAAAACTTACTTCCTGTAATTAACCTGGATTAAATGAATGTTTGAGTTGTCAGAGGGATGTAAGAGTAGTCAGGTGTAATGTGGATATTTAAACTGACAGAACTTACTTTCAGCTACTCAAGGATTCCTTTTCAACCTGTTGTTGGAGATACATACATATATATATATTTTCATATAACAGCTAGGAAATACTTGATTTGGCCAGATAATAATGGATTTCATGCAGCACCTCTATGCTTGAGCCAAGTTAGGTAAGATACTGAGGCAGCCAAGGGAGAGAGAACCCAGCACAGCCAAGTGTCTTTACCCACTTTCAGGCACAGGCTTTGCTGCCTACAGTGAGCAAGGTATGTCAGTGGCTGTGAATCTTGAGATGGGCAGTTTGAAGTTTGCTTGGCTGTTTCTACAGCACATTTCAAGTAAAAAAAGCCCAAGACTTGGAGAAAGTAGAGCAAAGTCACCTTTGGTGTCTCTTCTGGTAATGCAAGCAGTTGGGATACTGAGACTGCCTGCATTGAGATGTAACTCAGTGACCAAACACTGCATTCTAAGCGGCCAAGAGAGGCCACTTGGCCTGCGAACAGCTACACAAAGTGTACTGCTAAAAGACAATGATTCTAAAAATGGCTTCAGTTGTCTCCAAGTGCCCATACATCAAAGTCTAATAAGCCGGAGCCCTTGCTGCTACAAGTCTGGGATAAGCTAAAGGCCAAGAGCTGCTTTCATTTCTATTGAGGAACACCTTCCAGGAAAAACATGAGATGCGGTAAGTCCCTGCAACTGTGACCGTGCCAGTTGCTCCTCATTGTGTGGTTGCATAGATGATATATCTCTAAATGTAAAACCACACACCTCTTCTTTTTCAGTTGCATCCTGTTTGCCATATCATTTCTCTGATTTGCCTTGATCCTTCCCAATCCCAGTATTCTGCTTCATGCTTCTAGCTGCTCCCATTGACATTCTCATCTGAAAACTTAACAAATGAATTCTGTATCCCGTGATCCCAGTTAGTAAGGACTGGTCCAGGAGTTCAACTTCCTACCTGGCTTTGCACATCCTCATCACAATATTATCTAAATTAATCTTCCACAGCTTGCTTATGGGAGTGTCAGAGAAGGCAGTACAATTAAGATGATAAATCAGCAATCGTGAATTGAAAGTACGGTATTACTCTGCTGAAGGAATTGTATGCATGAATGGAACTGTAACTAATATCCAGGGGGAAGGAAACTTTGCATTCACTTTGAAAGCCTATGCAGAACCATTCTTCACAGCAGAAGATAACAGAAGTGTTGGTGCACGTGCCCCTATTACCATGGTCTCAGAAAGACAACCAACAGCATCACTGCTATTATGATTATACTAAAACTTTAAGGGACATGGTAATGGTCATGCTGTCCACAAGGGGCAAAATCAGTATAATAATGATCATGCAAAATGATAATGAGTATATAAATCCCAACTAATTATCCACTAGCTGGTGTGATAAAATTGCTAATGAACCCTAGTGGATTACCACAAGTTATCTTTACAAGATAGAAGCTTTCATCAACAGGATATATCACGTTCTCCATGTACAAATCAGAGATGGCTGTTTTCATAGAAAGATCTGTTCAAATAATCATTCATTTTTTCCTGACTGGATGAGACTTCATGTGAGATGTTTTGCTTTTATCCATAAAATTTGCACTGCTAGTGAAGACTCCAAAACAGTTCTTCTGTGGGGCGACAGCTGCATCCAAAAACAGACTTACTGAAACTCTTCAGGTGCCACAACACAGTAAGACAAATGTAGACCAACAAAAGCAAAGCTTCAGATCATACTGGTTTGTAACAAAACTACATGGGCTAAATAGATCAGCCAAATATTCTGAGGACCTACAGTGCCAGTTTCAGCATCCTGCTCTGTTGACCAGAGATTTACCTTTACAATTGTTGCAAGGCTAAGAGAGCTTTAAAGCAGATTGTTCAAATTTTCCCTTCAGCTAATACACATTCTTGTCAGGAATGGAACGTTTTACATGGTGATATTTTGCGAGTTGATGTAAAGATACTATTGTTATTTCATGGCTATTTTAAGATTTCTATAATCATTGAATGGATGCTGAATGGCCAAAACAGTTCCTTTTTTGCATCTGAACAAATGAGAGCTTTGCTACTGATCTACTGGTAGGGTATATTTATTCTTTCACTGAGAGACTTCTTCAGTTCCAGACTGAGCAACCCCAAAATACATGTCATAAGGACAAGCAAGACCATGTTTGAAGAAATACTTCCTGTTAAAAAGACAATATGGTCCTTGCTAACACCTTATTTCCAATGAAAAAAGGCAGTGAACTGATCACAGTGCAGGAAACCTCTGACGAAGAAGAAACTCTAAGACCCGCTAACAGCATTTCAAGTAAAACACATCAGAGGTGAGAACCTGGAGCTAGTGAGAGCTCCAATGACGAGAAATAGTGAAACAGAAGGAAAAAACCTCCTAAAAAGGCCTGGATCATCCAGTGAGGAGACAGGACATTTTCACATTTGCATACCAAGCATAAGAACACAGGCAAAACCCAAATTCCTCGCATTTAACACTCACATCTATAATGCTCTGACTACAGGCTTACCCCCGTCATCCTCAACACATGAAATTCCCTTTCTATCATCAGCGCTTCCCCCAGGTAGAGGGGACAAATATGACCCCACCGTTCTCAACACCCTTGCTGGTGACTTTTTAAAAAGAGTTTTCAAATAACCGTGCCGCCCAGTCTATGCGGGATAAATGTCTATGACATTTATCCTTGGAGTGCACACCAGCCCCTCAAATACCAATTACATGCACTTTGAGGACACCACTTGTGGCAGTCACTCAGCACACCAGAAAAATACATCATGTTTTTGAAAGAGCCACACAGACACTGCATAAGAAATAGCTTTTATGAAAAAAGAGACCCCCTACTCATTGTATACATTTCTCTCAAACAGCGTCCTAAAAACTATACCAAAAAACCCTCAAAAAAGTAATAATCTATGTTACAACATCCTACACAGCGGAAAATTTTCCCCAGAGCCATCCCTGCCAGTCTTTAAGCTGCCTCCCAACCTTGTTAAGCTTATCATCAGAAGGAAGCTTTTTGTGCGGAAAAAGAGAAAAGAAAAAAAACAAATACAACTTGTCAAAACCTTCCCTTCCACCTTCCTGTAAGGACCTTCTATCCCAGACACCAGCACTCCCAGGTCTCATACATGGGCTTACCTGGGAAGTCATATCCAGCATACAAGCCACCCTCACACCCCATAGTTGAGATCAAGTAACTACTAAGACCAGACTGAACTCGCACAGACCACTGATAAAGCACAAACACACCTAACTGCTGCAAAAGTAGCTCTCACAAGGTAATCACTCAGTCTCTGATTGTCAATCCTGATCCTAAAAGGAAACCTATAAAATGCCCTCCAGCCACAAACCTAGGAATAGACATTCATGACATTTCAAGATAGCAAGACTGTGCTTCTCCGCCACACCATAACCTCCCACACCCTCCACACTATCCCCCCGACACCTCCCACAGGCTATAACCTCTCTCTTTCTCTGCCTACATCTAATCTAGTCATTTAAACATGCCAGGAAA